AGCAAGCTTCTGCATGGTAAGGCTCCTGCTTAACTCAGTGCAGGAGCTTCTGGAGGAGGAGAGGAGGTGGCAGGAGCTTCTGGAGGAGGAGAGGAAGTGGCAGGAGCTTCTGGAGGAGGAGAGGAGGTGGCAGGCACCTGGCAGACCTCAGGCAACGTGTCAAACCATTCTTAACTGGGTTGTAGTGGTTATGGTGCATGAAGTTTTCCTTTAATTAATAAACCGTTTTTATATATGATCTGTACATAATGTATAGCATCATGTATTTAGACAAGTAGTTTGCCTTTAAAACCCATGCATCAGCTATATTTCCCTATCACTGGTAATTCATCATACCTTCCCGACAGAGCCTAGTCCACATTGGAAGTCTTACAGCTAGTTCAGGCTGGAAAGGATTGAGAAACTGGTCCTGACAGCATCTAACGTAGATGTTAAGGACTGAGACAGTTCCTTGGGTATATAATGGTTATTGCCCCCTTAATTCTCAGAGCAACAGAATGTTCTAAGTCCCAGCAGTCTCCAATGAAGAAACATGTCTCCTGTTTTATCAGACCTCTTGGCTTCCTTTCAAATATGTATCCACCAGCACTAATATCTTCATTGCATACTACTCTATTCATGAGACTGGGGCAATATAACATCGTATTTTTGCAAAGGTATATATTTTAATGACCATTATCTAGATTACATATGTCAATGTAAATATAAGAAACAATTACACTCAGTTAATTTGAAATGCAGATTGAATGCAAAACAGGCTAAATGTCAACAAATGTCAGATTGTTGCTTTCACAAGACAATTTATGGTTTCAGTCTATTGTGCTAAGCAAAAGGCAAAAGAACAGTAATGCGTTCTGTTAATCTATATCCCAGTTATTTACCCTTTTATATCTGTAATTTAAAATAGCTTTTTACTTCTGATGACTGTCTGACCTAACCTTCAATATTTTTTTTAATGTTAATAACATTAGCAATTTAAATAGAAGATTGCAGATAATACTGTGAGTTGCATGACAAGTGCAGGTTCTTTAAATTCAAAATCTATTCCATTCGAGTGATATTAAAATTTTATTCACTTAAATGTTGCAGTGCACTTCATAATTTTTTTTATTCCAGAATTTGTGTTCCTCAGGGGTGTGTCCAGAGGAGGAAGAAGGAGGTGTTTGTGTCAGCACATATTGCACGTTCTTTAGAATCATTCATACATAAATGTATATTTATTTTATTTATGTTTAACGTAATTGACGTAACACAGTCAATTATTTGTTCAAACAGTGTGAGCAGAAATAATAGGTTAATGAATAATGTTCTGTGAATAAAAATATGCATGGTAAAAAACATATGTATAAATAGCATGATAAAAGAGAACACACCTTGTGTTAGATCTGAGGTCAGTTTTTTTTTTTCGTGAATATATTTGTGCAGATATAAAAAGTGCCTATCATTTGCAGTTTCAATTGTAAATTGTAACAAGTGTAAAATATACCTAAAAAAAAATATCAACTAAAACATACTATGTTCCACAGAGCTTTATTGAAATCTAATAATATATAATGACCGGCAGAGTCAGTAAAAGGCAGAAGCCTACTTGATTAAGTTGCACACCTTAGTTTTGCTCAATCATGTCATATTTTAAAGTATCAAGCTTTATATAATCATAATATATGCATATTTTCTTAATCATTTGTTCCCCTCGTGGGAGTTGGGCTATGTTCAGATTGTGTGTTTTCTTACGGGCGACATGTACATGATTGATGGCTAATATTTGACATGGCAGTTTTTGTAGACAATGTATCCCATCATAGTGAAACATAATTTGATATAAAGCAGCTGCAGTGTCAAAGGTACACAATGCAAGCATCGATCCACACTAAGTTCTAATTAACAGAATCATAAGACTTGCTTGAAGTCTAACACAACAAATGTTAGTTGAGGTTTATTAACTAAGTAAGGAATTGTGGGTAGTTCTCATTGGAACTGCAAGATTTAGGCAAAAATAGATGAATTGGATGAATAGGCTTTCTGCAAAAATGCCACAATGTTCATAGTGTTTGAACAGTTTTCTTAACGCACTTAGCCATTGCAGTCATTTTGTCATTAAATCTTGATTTTAAACAAAATTATAATTTTTTTACTGATTTATTGGCTGGTGTGTTGGAGACTCCTCTTCTATCCAAAGCCCATGAAGGAGGCACCCAGGAGCACATTATGTAGAACCTGATCACGGCTCTAGGACATGTGAGTGGTTCTATCTATTAAATTGTGCATTTATCTACATTACAGTATCACGCTATGTATTTTTCTTTCTCAGTCTTTGCCCTGTTATATACTTCTCATCGTGTATGAGAAGATTTGTGAAGTCTTTGTATGTTTTATATTTACACAAGAAGATTTAAAATATAAGTCTTTTCATTTTTATTTAAAGGAGCACTATAGGGTCAGGAACACAAACATGTATTCCTGACCCTGTAGGGTTAAAACCACCATTTAGCCTCCCTGGTCCCCTCATGCCTTCCTAAAAATAGTTAAATCTTACTTGTATTCAAGTCTGCAGGTGCTTAGTTTGTCCCTATTTTCCTTTAGACCTGCCTGCTGACATCAGCAGAAGTGGTAGCCTGATCCAATCACAATGCTTCCCCATAGGATTGGCTGAGACTGACAAAGAGGCAGATCGGGGCAGAGCCAGCACAATTCAAACACAACCATGGCCAATCAGCATCTTCTCATAGAGATGAATTGAATCAATGAATCTCTATGAGGAAAGTTCAGTGTCTGCATGCAGAGGGAGGAGTCTCTGAATGTTTGGTTGCATTTTAGGCAGTCATGACCCAGGAAGGATCTCTAACAGCTATCTGAGGAGTGGCCAGTGAAGTTATCACTAGGCTGTAAGGTAAACACTGCATTTTCTCTGAAACAAGCAGTGTTTACAGCTAAAAGCCTGAAGGGAATGATTCTACTCAGCAGAACAAATTCCATAAGCTGTAGTTGTTCTGGTGACTATAGTGTCCCTTTAATACTATGTACCACTATGTTTATAACACTGTGTGCACTTTATAGGTTTGTTAACCATAGTTACTATAGCCCACTGTAGTAGCTATAGTGCAAGTAAGCTATGGTGATGATTGATAAATTAAAACCGAGGTTTCCCTAAACACCAAGAGACTACCCCTTGCTGGCCAAATAGCTAATATGGAATTAACACTTTCACATTAGCAATATAAGTTTTGTTCATGTTCAGCCAATCATTTCCATCAAAATATGCACAGATTTAATAATGCTTAATTGCTTATTAGAATGCCTCAAAGCAAAGAGGCAGTCGCTAGGTGCCTGGAGGACCAGCAGTTTTGATCAAACCACTCAAAAATGCGGTGGGAAGGGGAATCCATAGCCTACTACCCCTATAACCGCTTTTTGTATTGGTTATGGTACTTAGACAGCCTCTTTAAATAGAAATAGCATTGAACATGCTTTGTACACAGTTCTTACATCTTAATTATATGTAGAACGCCCCAATATAGTCTTCAAGAGCTCACCAACTGTTTAGATTTTAATAATCCAAATTAGAACTTGAAAATGCCTAAATCTCAAAACATGGGGAGCTCTTGGACTGAGTTATTAACCACATATTTAACGTCTGCCTAGTCGAGTTTACGTTCTAGGTAGCTCAAGATGTGATTGAGCAAATGTGCTTTCAGTGAAGCAGATGGAAAATTATTGACTAATTAGTTTTCAAGAAATGCACAAGACCCATCAATTTGTCTATTTTCGAAGAAGGTAATGGACAAAACTTTACAACTACCCAAATAATCTGGGTTTGCACTTCTATTCTTGACACATGACAATGTAGATCTTTCTGTCATTTCCACAGCCGGGGGAACCCAAAACATAAACATCAGTTTCCATACTTTCAGCTTTAACTTAGAGATATACTTGTTTTCCTTGCATATGTCAAATGTTTAAAAGTAGACACTTTGTAAATATGATCTACTCCTTGAGCAAAATCAAAGTAAATAATTGATTGTCTACATCAAGTACCAACATTTTGCCGTGTGTATATTCTTTGGTGATTTTTATTTTGTCAAATGTGTGTTTTATGAAGCTCAGAATGCTTTCATATCACGAGTTCATCTTTTATAAGGTGGCAAGACATATTTAAAACAGAGGCACA